AGACTTCAAAAACTTTTCAACAGTAAGAGATTTAGTGTTAGCCTGATGCAAATAAGTGAAACTCTTTAAGATAAAAAATATGAACAATAAAATGGCAATGAATACATATCTATCAACAATTGAATCTACAAAAAAAATGAACAAGCAGAACAGAACAGACTCAGGGATACAGAGGACTTTTTGTTGTTGCCAGATGGGAGGGGTGTTGCAGGGGATGGGCAAAGAAGATGAAGGGAAGTACAAAATGGTTGTTACAGAATAGTCATGGGCACGTAAACTACAGCACAGGGAATATAGTCAATAATATTCTAATAACTAGGCGTGGTGCTGGATGGGTGCGGGATTTATTGGGATGATCACATTAAGTTATGTAATGTCTGGTCACTGGGGTCTACCTAAAAACATACATACATACATAAATACATACATACATACATACATAAAACTATTAAGCACTCCCTAAGTCCTGGAATTGTGATTCGAAGTGCATACCATGCATTACTCAACTGAATTCTCAAAATAACTGTGTGAACCAAGTGCAACAATTATTCCTATTTTACAGATGAGGATTGTGGCCTAAAGAGATCGAGTGTATTTCCCAAGATTAAGGATCCAGATTTCAAACTGGTAGATGGATTCAAAGCCTGTGGTACTGTGCCACACTGCTTCTCAATTCTGGGAAAACTAGTGCAAATTTATCACAAAGAATATATTTCAATAATTCTTGCCAATGTTGTGGCAAGAAGAATTGCCACAACAATGGAAATGAGGGTCCTAAGGCATATAAAAGCATTCCAGTTTTTGTCAATCTGGACTAAGATTGTAGGTGAATATTTTTAGAAACAAAAATGCCATCTGTACACAAATGTGTGTGTGTGTCCAGATGTGCACACACACACACCTCTGTGTATTGTGAGAAAGACAGAGAACTAGAGAGAGAAGAAGATGACAGAAAGGTTTTAAAACATTAAAAAAAAATCTCCTGGGTATTTATTCTGGATTATAATAATTTGAACGGGTTACCAAAGTACCACAACATAAATTCTAACTGCTTTACTGAGGGGAATATATTTCATCTCTGCCTTCGTTCCAATTTACTGGATGTGGAAAATGACATTGGCCTTCCAAAGCCTTAACTTATGTTTGGACCCTTTCCATCTCTGAGTCTTATTCTAGGGCTGCTGACCATTAAAGTGAATATTTCAGTGGGGCTGGAACAGTCTTATTAGCCTAAGCCAAGCTTTATATGGCTTGTGCACTTTAAGAGGTTAATCTTGCCAACCAGCTCACTTTGTTCAGAAGTATTAAATGGAAAGACTGCAACATTCAAAGGAAGGCGAAGTTCACTGGGTAAGACCCCAATAATATAATGGAGCATAAAACCTCTAGAACTTTTTACCATAATGTTTTATGAGACATATGCACACACTCGTTGGAACAGAATCTACGTCAAGTGGTTTTGAAGGTCAGTTCAAAGTCACCACATACGTACTATCTTTGTTAGAATTATGGACTATTTCAAAAGTGTCTGGACCCAGAAGCTTTCTTTCCCTATTTTATAGTTTACTATCTGTCCAGCAATATACTATATTAGAGGGGAAAAAGTCACCTACTATAGCATGATATTATTTGCAGCCAAACCAGAAAGCTCAGTAAAATATTCCAAATTTCAGTATCAACAAATGCTGTGTTAAAGAATGAAAAGTATCACAGAGTGTAATTCTAAAAGGGAGTGCTACTTGAAGTAAGGGCCTTAGAAAAAAAATTTTTTTTTAAATTCTTTTATTCTCACCTTCACAACTAATTATAAAGGTCTTTGATGTTCATTGTTAAGAAAGGAGCAAAAGACTCTCAATTCCTCCATTTAAGAGAACCTTGGGTTAGAAATGGGCCTGATTAGAGCTACCTATTCTATTCCTATCATTCTGATGCTTCCAAAATGCTCAAATGGTATGAGCTACTATGATTCTCCTCAGGGGAAGGAAGTAAAGGTCCACTTTGCATGACAAAGGTCAGATTTCTGCAGGCAAATGAGACACCATGGTTGACTGTTCCTAGGTTGTCACTGTCTGGCTGGGTCCAAAGAGGTCAAGAGAGGTTCCAAATTTGGTTCACTGCTTAAGGGACACCCCTGGGGCCACTTTTAAAGGTCATTAAGATTTTCTTACTCTGGTTTCAGCTTTACTCCCTTAAATCTTGCTAACACACACTGGTAATTCAGTACTGATGTGGGTTAAAAGGAAACTGAAAGAATTTAGTATTATATGCAGATCAAAAGTTAGAAAATCCACTCATTTAACAAGTTCCTTTAAATCTAAGATTCAGTTCAATGATATTCAAGTAGACCACAGAGGATGATACTCAGGTCCCAACAGGAAAGCTTGACTCTTATAACTGTCCTGGTATCTACACTATATGATCAACGCCACTACTCGAAATTTCACTTAATATGGTGTAGCTTTCTGCAAAAATTATACCAATCATCACACATGTTTAATTATGGTAAAATTTTATTACTTTCTTTTGTAATAACTCTTGGGGTCACGAAAATACAACAAATGATGAACTGAAATTATTATTTGAGTGTATTTCGATGTTCTCTTTAGTACAAATATATATCTAACCTTTCTCACAGTGGAGTGGAAATACACTCAATGGGTTATATTTATAAAAGTTGGAAGAGTTCTGCCTATTGGAATTAATGAAGTGTATCTCTAAGTATTTTAGATTATGTGTGGAAAATATCTGTATTTAATTATATAATACTTTTCTTAGATCATGGGAACTGAATTATGAAATATTCTGAAGCCCTTATAGAGATAAAATTATTAATGGTTGCTCAAGAATTCTATTGGTACGATGCCAGAGAATATTTGGTTTTACAAATCAATAGTCTGACCCTTCCTAAGTATCAGATTTTCAATAGAAAAGGAAGAAACTTAAAATACTGGGTAAACATAGACAAAGAAAATGTCTTTCATATTAGTACAGTTTTGAATGAAATTCTGTAACATATTGTGAACAGGATTTCTCTTTTAATTTTGTTGGGGATGAGAATGTCTAAAAGAATAAATTAACAGCTTGCTATTCATTCTTCTGAGAGAAAAAATCCTAAACTGTTCTCATGGAAACAATGGGACACAAAGTATGGTTTTTTTTTTGTCCTTGTCCTACAGTATTAAAAACATCAGATTTTCTTTCTGGATGCTTACTGACTCCAAAGGCCACTTCTTCTGCAGTCAGTTTTCAATCTCCCAGTGGAAAGAATACATTCAAAGGCTGTGTGCACAGCAGGGTAGAAGGCTTTCTCTGTGAATGTAACTGTATCACTCATCAGTAACCTCCTGCCATAAGAGGACTTGTGTTTTCTTTCCTTTTAGTGACTCCATGGGCTCTTGAATGCCAGTCACTGCCCCGAGACCTGGGGCCATATTCACATAATCTCTGTCAATAGTTCCTACACAAGCCATTGGTGCAAGTGAATGTCAAGGCTGCAGATCAAAGACCGCACACTCTAAAACTCATGTCCTTTATGGATCAATTTTCATAAACTGTACTCTGTGTTTTAGAAATACATGGAGACTCACTCTGTGCTTTCTTCCTTTTATCCCAGAGACATTTATTTATATAAAAGGCAACCTGATTTGTAGATAATTGTGTTAAATTCTGATGCAATACATAAAATTCATTCTTCCCTTTGCATACCCTTCTTGAAGTATTTTACTGTATCTATTGTTTTACTAGTAGAAATGGCAAAATATTTGGGTTATTAAAAGAAAAAAAAAGACATGGATTGCTTTGCAATATTGACAATCCTTCCCAGTGCCTGGTACAATAGACATTAAGTAATAAATTCTTACTCATGATTGATTTTTATTGTTAAATCTTCATTTTGCTACAGGTAAATTATATGAGAGAAAATAGCTTCAGCATGTGCTTTTACAATGTATACCCACTTTGAGTACTCAAAATTGCTTGGGAAAATAAATAAAATTAGTTAAAATCATTTTCTCTCCGTAGATTTCATATACAAATGACATTGATCTATACTTCTTCAAGTAGACCTGAGTAAAATACAATGGACCAAATTATCTTCTATGAATACCTTTCAGATCACACTGTGGATATAAAATTTTTTAAATTCACAACTTTCTCTAAAGAGCCATATTTGAAAGAAATAACACACTTTTGAACAAAATGTACATGAATGTTATTTATGCTTACATCTTGCTAAAGTCTTAGAATATATTTATTATAGAGGTAAGAGCATTTAACATGTTAAATATGCACATATCAGAGGGCTCACAAAGGAGAAGATATTGAAACAAACACAGGCTTTACAGCCACAAGGCAGCTGGCTAAATTCCAAATAGAGGCTGCACTGTCCCAGTTCCCCAAGGCCCATTTTAATATAATTACAAAAGATTATTAGGTACAAAACTTACTCTGAGTTCTCTTGTAATCTATGAGACATTAGGCAAGTCACTTACTCAGAAGGTAGCTTTGGCTTTATCTATTTTCACCACTTAAACAATTGAAATGTAAGGTCTTTAAACCTTGAAAAGAAAACTGTATCATTCCCATTTTTGTGGTAAATGACTGAGGCCCAACAGAAAATCAGATAAATGGTGAAAATTATAAAGGTCCTCATTAATGGAAAAGATCAGAATTTTCTGAAAAATAAAATTTCTATTTCCCTTAATGCTACCCTTCGTTGCTAATAAGATAATCTGACTAAAATCCAAATATGATAAACTTTTAAATTACAAAAGGTACTTCAATTACAGATTGAATCACGTTGGAACAACAGGGATGTGTGTGTGTGTGTGTGTGTGTGTGTGTGTGTGTACATGTGCGCATGCCTGCGACCAAACACACACTTGTTAATGCTGAGGCCATGGGCGCGAAGCGCATAATAGCTCTCTGATTCAAATCCTTTGACTTTCGTCTAGAAGCAAAATGAAAGGACAGGTATGTGATGCAAGAATAAACCCACTTACCAGTTTTCCGAAGGGGGAAATCATCCTTTGCATCTTGTGCTCCTGGTAATGTGTATTTGTAGGACGGAGACGTTCCGCTCAGGGGTGGAGAGCTTTGATCCAATGATGTATGGTGGGCAGCCCTAGGAGAGACAAGAAGGGGTCACCACTTGCACTGGAGTTTTTCCTGCGTGTTGGTCAGCAATAATCAGTTGCACATGCTGTACACGTGTCTCAGCTGTGTTTATGTTCTTTCTTTTTAGTGTGTACAAACCACAGCCTCATGTAACAGTTCACAACAGCAGTATGTTACGCAATGATTCAGGATCCCCAAGAATGCCCACGTGTGCTTGGTTGGTCACAGAGTCACACAGAAGAGTTTGTTTTATTGAAAGAGAGAATTGACCACAAGCTTGAGTTGTGATGATCTGAGATTACTGTATATGTTTTCTTAAGAGCCATACTAGTGAAAAAGTCATCACCCGAATCCTTTTCAGTCAATAATGTAGAACAACCAAGGTAAAAGCAATCACATGGAAGCACTTCATTTTTAAAATTGCTAGCTAGTACATGAAAGTACACGAGAAGCTTTTCTATGGAAAAGACTGTACTGTCGCAGCCTCAGGTCTCTTGACTTATACCAGTCCAAGGTGCAGACTGGGGACCGCTTCTTTCTTCAATACAAAAGTGATTTCTCAAAATGCTTTCTCTTTTCTGCATAAATACAGGGAAAGAGATGCAATTGTGTAACTGGAGAATAGTTTACAGGACTGACATACACTAGCCAGTGGATGTTAACATCCATAATTTTTATATATGAAGAAAACAACGGATGGGGCCTGTTATCACCAACAAGGTGCTTATTCTACTGGGATTCATCTGAATTGCATTCTCAAGAATTAACTGGTTTAAAAATATTTCACCTTACAAAAAAATATTAAATTCAGAGTCCATAATTCCTAGAACTTTACCCAGCACCATATGGCTCAGTTGGTTGGAGCATTGTCCTGTACACCAACAAAGTTGCAGGTCAGGGTGTGGAAAGGAGGCAACTGAGATATTTTTTTCTCACTTCGTATCTCTCTCTGTCCTCCTTCTTCTCTCCAAAATCAATAAACATATCTTTGGCTAAGGATTAAAAAAAGTCTCTCTTCTTAAACTAGGCTTTAAGTAAGAAAGAATATGAATTACTTATAAATTATGTTTGTAATCTCTATATACAAAAGCCTAAGCAACTGTTAGGACTGAATGACCGGAATGACCAGTTGATGGTCACTATGACACACACTGACCACCAGGGGGCAGATGCTCAATGCAGGAGCTGCCCCCTGGTGGTCAGTGTGCTCCCACAGCCAACCTCCTGTGGCTGGCCAACCTCTCCTGGTCCCTCCCCCAGCCAGCCAACCTCCCGCAGTCCCTCCTTCTGTCTCACCCCCCTGCTGGCAGGCCCCAATCGGCCCAGCCCCTATCAGGACTGGGCGAGATGGCCTTGATAGGCCCTGATTGCCAGCCAGGCCTAGGGACGCCACCCATTCACGAATTCGTGCACCAGGCCTCTAGTTTTAGGTAATAAAACTGCATTTCTTTTTAAAGGCTGTGATGTTGATTGAACATTTGAAAGTTGTCTTTCTGGATTGGTTTCTCAAGTGAACTGACATACACTACAGAAATTATGATTACCACTGTATTTATACAGCATCTGCCTCAGTTACATTTCTTGGGATGCAGAGAAGGGAAGATACTTAAATAAGTACAACAGCCCTTTCAATAGAACTCCTGGGATGCTTACAATTTCATTATAACAGTAATCAAATATTTAGTCCTTATCCTCATGATGTGAGAGATTAAAAATATGTAATTGTAAAATCCTATGGTCATGAAGCAAACATTTATAAAATGAGAGAAATTAAACTTTTATCTATTAGTTTATTAGCCAAACATGCTTTGCCTGTAAGTTTTGTCCTGATTTTGAAAAACACCTCCTGCTGTATGTTTTGCAGAGAGAATTGTGTACTATACAGTGTCTCTTTACTGGACTTGGGAAAAGATGTCCATAAAAACTGCAATACCACAATGTCCTCCATGGCCCACTGTGTGTCAGAAGCCAGTCTACTCTCATTTCACAGGGAGGGAAGAAATCGGGTGATATGCCCAGGGGTAAACTAGTCACTGAGGACTTCGATTTAGTTAGTTACCATCCTTCACTTTCTTTCCCTTCCCCTTTTATGTTTTAAATTAAAAAAAAAAAAAGAGTCTGGACTTTTAAACATAGCTCAGCTCTCCATCTTATAGCAAGCCAAGTAAAATGAAATCTCAACCTGTCAAATGTTCAGAAATTACTGTAAAGATATCAGATGCGCCGTCTGAGACTAGAAAAATGCAAAGTATGAATTCATTTCTAGGCCCCATCCCACGCTTGTCAGTTACTCATCGAGGGAAGAACATATATCCTTCCTGGCCCTCAAGATGATACCCGCTCCCGTTTGGGAAGCCCTGACCTCTGTTTACATACTTTACCACATTATTTCATAGGATGCCCCCAGCAGGCTCAGAGGGCTGCTTCTGTTATCATCCTTCATTCACAGAGAAGGAAACCGGAGGGTAGAGAATTCAAGAACTGGACCCAGCACCCCATGGCTGAGAACCGGCAAGCCCCAGATCGGGGCCCAGGTGGGCTGAGTACACAACCTGTGTTCTTTATCCCCAGGTAATGAAAACAGCTGAACACTGCACATACGTGTACCAGAGCTTGGGATGGCGGCTCACGGAATGATTTTTTCCATTAGTTGGAGTGTCTTTTGTTGCTGATTTACTCAACAGGAATTCTTGAAGCTTCTGCTTTACTTCTGTACTTGCCACTGCCCCTGAAACACAGGCGGACAGAAACAGATGCTGGCTTAGAGCTGTATCCTTTCATGCTTCTAACGTATTTAGCAAAAATTAAGAAGTAACCCCACTGGTCACAGCATATGAAGTTTTCCTATGACAAGAAGAAACCAGAGTCTAAACGGGCGTTAGAAAATGGCATAGGAAGCTTCTGTAACTCCTGATTAAACTGCCAATTTTCAAAAGACCTTCCATGATTTCCTTAATTGCTTTTGCAGAGAGGGGAGTCCCAGAATTAATACTAACTTTTTTCTAAGCTTTAACAAAATCCTGCTGGGAAACAAAACACTGCCCTTTAAAAATCAAGAATCTCGGGGAACCCTATAAGTGACTAAACACATCAAATGATCTTTTTGAATCACTATTTTGAAAAACCAACTTTTTTAAAAAGCCTCTTTTGAGCATTAAACAAGTCAATCCTGCTGACAATTCCGGTTCAACGCATCCAGTTTTCAACCTTGTGACACCCTGATTTTGAACTGACCTCACTGCAAGGGAATTATTTGGATCTGTCTCCCTCTGGTGGATAGCTTTTTATTTTTACAAATGTTCTGCCTTAAATCTTCCCAAGGCCTCACTACTCAAAAACTAAATAGAGGCCAGACTGGACTCACAGAGCCATTACTACATGAGCCAGAGAAAGGTTATGATTAAACAGTATGGCAGAGCTGGATTGCTTTACTGTAACATTATTTTTGAAATTCAAAAACGTAGACATTAGTATCTTGGCTGAACAATGCCGTGTTTACTCCCTGAGATGCTTTGCAGACTAAATGCGGAGAGCTGATAGGTGAGGTCAAAGCTTTACATTTGAGTCTCTCATTTATTCTTATAGTTTTTAATGCAGGTAATCTTGACAAATTCAATTCCACTCTTTCTCCGGCTTCTTTCTGCAGGAGGACGGGCTAAAGGGGAGGGAAGAGGGTCATCTTTTACCCTGGTGCCTCTTACTTTCTCGTCCTCTCTCTTTGCCTCTGAGAGGAGGAAGCTGCTGTTCTCTGCGATGCCTCTCTACTTCCTGTTCTTGCCTCTGCTGCTCCAGTTTCTGCTCCTTTTCTAGGAGTTCTTGTTGCTGTTTTATGGCTAGAAGTTCCTGTTGCAACTTACGAGAAGAGAAAGACATGAGAGTGTGCACTTTCTTTAAGCTTCATTGTCATCACTGACCAAAATCGAAATGCTGTGAGCTTTTAGAACTTGCTTGGATTTAGTTGACATGTTTACCCATTTTTTTTTATATAAATTATTACAGTCTAAAGGCAAGCACAGAATGCCACAGATGGTCTTAACCTCATCAATAAGGTCGTTTTTAGGGAGCGTCATGACCTGTCAAAAATCATTACCAAATTCACCCAGATCTTTAGTTCCCTGAGTAGCTTTTCTTTGTCATCTGAAATATATAAACCAGGCAAAGGCAGGAACTGTCCAGAGTCTACTTTACCACTTCTTCCCCCATGACAAATAAACAACTGAAATCTTCAATTCCTATCCCAAGAAATAGAATGAGTATTAACTAAATAGAATGATGAGAAACAAGTTAATTTTGGGGAACTATACCTGAAATAGAATAAGGGTTAAGAATTGCAAAGCCTCACAGAGAAGATTCTCTATAGATTAGTGCAATCTATTATCCATAGTAGGCTCTTTTCTCAAAACAGAAGAAGACTGAACACACAATATCCTTCAGATGAGAGAGACTGATTAAGATCACTTCCATTAAACTGCACTTTGATGCACTGTAGTTTGCTTGTCTGCATCGCTTGATTTCATTTCCAAACAATGAATAACATGAATAGGAAGCATTCTTAATAACTGTTGTAAGATGCCAGCTTGCACTCAGGGTGAGAATTTGATATCTATGAATAATAGGAAACATGCCCACTGAGGAATAAGTAAAGACTGTGAATTCTACTTAGATTCTGACATTACCAGATCTAGGCAAGTTACTAAACTACAGAGAGCCTTGGTTCCTCATATGTAAGACAGAGAAATAATTGCCCTCACACATCATGCCCAAAACATACATGAAATTTAGTTTGTTAAGTTTGAACCATACTACTTTTAATTATTATTCCTATTTTTAACTCTCAATACCAATGAATTTAGTCAATATGCTGTTCATATTAGGTTGTGACCCAAAGGTATGAAATGTATGATGCAAAGTAACAGAATAAAAATAAAAAGCACTGTGGAATGGTATCAGCGTTAGGCAATGTGTTAACTATGATAGCGCCATCCCTACCAGAAAGATGGGGTTAGAAGCATTTCTCTGTACTCTTTATATTAAATCTTTGTCATTTTGGCTTTGCTACACTAGTCTTTTATTGGATGTTTTTAGATATTCCATTGTAACAGAAAAATTCAGAACTTTGCTTAAAGTCTACCTTGAATGTTAATCCTGTACAGATATTAGGATTGGTTAAATGGATTCAGTTCTTCACCCAAACCCCAATGAAATTTAAATTTAATCTATCTTAGGAATCTAGAAAGGCTCTAAATTTAATTTCCATAGCCACCATTTATTATTGAAGACTATAGGAAGGGGGGCTGGAAAAAAATAGAAATAAAGTGTCACCCCTCCATTTTCAGACGGTTTGGTCAAGGGGACAGGCACGATTGGGATAGCTTCGGAGACAAACAAGGTAGGACTACAAATACTGGAACCACCAGCCACTGTCTGTGTGGCCCTGGGAAGGTTAGAGTATTTCTCTCTGCCTCAGTTTATTGGGTGGGAAAATGGGATAATAGCATCTAACTGGGCAGATGTTTATAATAGAAGCCAAGGATTCAAAGTGCTAACGTAAATAAAGCCTCATGAATTGTCTTCCTCATTAAAATAAAATCAAAATGAATGCTAAAATCATCAACTTTTAGCTTTACCCATAAATAAATGGAAAACAATAATAGTTTTGAAAAGCAAAAAACTTGTTAAACTTCCTAAAATCTTATGTCTGTCTTCAGTTTCTGAGAAAAAAAGTTACTGTCTTGAAAAATCATTTTTAAAGTTAAATTTCCCTTTAGCAACCTCAGGGTCACTTTTTCTCTCAAGAGCCTCCTCTTTCTAATATTTTCCAGGTGTCAGTAAACCTACCATGTTACTTTGCTTGGGCCAAAGTAACAATTAATTACCTACTTTCTACCATTAATTTTTCAGTAAACTGAAACAATAAATTCATTTAAAAAGTTATTTTCATGTTTACAATTAAAAAATACATCACACGTGAATGAAAAGAAGTAAATGAAGTAGGTGGGGACTTATCAGTATTGCCCTGTACTTAAGGCAACATGACTCATCTACTAGAGCAGAATGAACCACACAGTTACCTAAACCTTAAACTATGGTGAAAAACATAAATTTCACTCATCATCATTGCCATCTGAACTTGCTTCAAATGAAGAAGAAGATCTAAACATCAATTTCCCTATTATTGTTTCAAAGGTCAAAAAATAATGCTTCAGAATCATTCAAAAATAAGTCTATAAACTAAATGAAGGTCCTATTATTACAAAATATAGCCATGTATGACTGATTCCACATGGCTCAGTCTTATTCTTAAGGTATCCTGTAGATCAATAAATTGCAAGAGTTCATTTAGTAAAGTTCACTGATAAAATAAAAATTTTATTATGGTTTATATTAGGTGTTGAAGAATGTTATTTTGGAAAACAAAATAGACCTTTCAGTCTAAGGAAATATCCTATAAAATAAGGGACATTGGAAAGAAGAGATCATTTTTACCTTCCCAGACACTGTAATATTAATGTGGTAAAATGGTATAATATTAATGTAGTTATCTATATTAACTCCATATAAATGTGTTGTTATTTGATATGTGAGTAATAGATCAAGCATCTATCATATAATTTATCATATTAATAAAATATTTAAGTCATTTTGAAAGAATTGAACTTATCATAAATATTTTATTATAAATATTTGCTGCTGTAGAGTTTTGTCATAATACATTCAAACTAGACATCTATTCAATCAGACGAAAATAAGTTTTTTAAAATGTCTTTGTCAAAAAGTTGAAAAACATTTTATAAACAAAGCTAAAGTAATACTTACTTCTGAAGATAAAAGGGAAGAAATAGGTACATAGACATTTAAAATGACCTGACAAGAAAATAACCCATCATAAAAAATTCTGGGGACATGGACCTATTTCTCCTCTTAGAAGAATTTAAACAACTTGAGTCTGAAATTGTCTACAACTGCTGACATTCTTTCAATAAATTATAATCTGTAGTCCATTAGACTCACATAAAAATACTGAAAATATCTGTATCAGTTTCTTCATATAATTCTCTCAAGCTTTTTATGTGATTGTTTCTAACGTACCCAGTATGAGGTCTTTTTCATAAGAAACATGAGGGGGAAAATAAGTGACTGAGTTATCCTTTCTGATCAATAATATAAGCAGATTCTTTATAAATATTTAAATGAGCCTTCTGAGGCTAATGATTCTTATTGGTGGAGAACAGATGGGGCAAACGAACAAAATCATGCACTAGAGAATCTTTTAAAAGGGTGGGAGGCTACTCTTCCCTACTATTGAGGCTGTAAACTAAAGGATAAAGAGTGACTGAGGCCCCTTCAAGAAGCAAAGCAGGTGTGTAGTCAGCCTTCCTAGCACTTACCAAGGTTTCCCCCAGTGCAACCACCCTTTCCTCCAAGCCATACTTGCATGTGTAAACAACAGGGAACTGTCCCCTCAGTGCTCCTTCTTCCGCCCAGGGCCCCCTGAGTGCAAAGGTCAGAGGCAGGGACACATTTGCTACCTTGATGTGCTCCTGAAGCTGCGCCTGGTGCTGCCGTGTCAAGTTCTCGTGCTGCTTCTGAAACTCGGCAATCAGGAGCTGCTTCTGGATCTGCTGCTGTTGCTGGATGAGGAGTAGCTCCTGCTGCAGCTGCTTCTCCCGGACGACAGGGTCCACCACGGGCATCATCATCCTGAGGTCCGTCCGTAGGTCCAAAGGGGAGATGGGCTCCAGGCCCACAGGAACCTCCGACTTTACATCCACTGGAGAAACGGGGGGGGAAAGGAAAGGATGTAAGAGATGTGTCCTTGTCCAAATCCATGCTGAACACAGACAAAAAGGAAGACACTATACGCATGCAACAAATTTTACACCAACAAATCTAGTCTTTTTTTTCCCAATGATGATAACAGGTCTTTCGTATATCAATTTTGATAAAATGTACCATATGCTAATTCCCCCCCAGCAATTGGTACTCTGCCTTGAATCGTCCGCATTTACCCTTTTCAAAGAGATGATTCCAATTATTTAAAGGCATCAAAGTCGTTCATAAAACATATTCTACTGGATCACTTACAAAGGTCAAGTTAATTTAGGACCAAAAATGCGTCTCTGCTGAGGAAAGGAAGTCATGTTTTAATAGAGAACTTCTAACACAACTAAGTCTGAATGCTTGTAAACACATTTGTTTGTAACAAGAGTCTGAAGATACATTATAAGTTAAAGCTTTTTACATAATGTTGGGCTATTGGATCCATCAAAGAAAAACACAAATCTGCAAGCTGAAATGTGGGAAATGGTGAGCAGATTAGTTGATCAACCTTGGCAAGGAAGCCAAGACCAGCCATAAAGATATGAGGCTGCCTAGCTTCTCTGTGCTGGTTTTTATTTATTTCTTAAAATATATTTTTATTGGTTTCAGAGAGGAAGGGAGGGAGGGAGGGAGAGAGAGAGAGAGAGAGAGAGAGAGAGAGAGAGAGAGAAACATCAATGATGAGAGATAATTATTGATCCGCTTGCCTCTTTTACACCCCGCTTGGGGATCAAGCCCACAATCTGGGCATGTGCCCTGACCAGGATTTGAACCGTGACCTCCTGGTTCATAGTTCGATGCTCAACCACTGAGACATACTGGCTGGGCTCTGTGCTGGTTTTTAAATGGTAATGATCTGTATAGCAGTCACCTTATTCCTAAATTAAACAAGGCATAAAAAAATTTTAGGATGCTTAGAACAAATATTCAATCAAGTAACAGGATAAAGAAAGATTGAATAATCTGAAAATAACTATAGCTACTTAAATTTATAAAAATTAAGTTAGATAACGTGTATAAAATTCTTAGCATGACTTCTAAGAGATAACTTTCCAGGAGTGGGATAAGCGCAAGAGCTCACAGACAGGGTAGATATGCAGATATGCCAGCTGTTCATGGCTGGCATCCATCCTGATTAGTCAGTGTATATGCCAAACTGGTTGTTAAATATTTTGAATATGACCTTTGGCCACAGGAATCAAGAAAAGTATGTAGTTGAATAAAACAGATTTAGATAAAGATAATAGGGATTTTGGAGGGAGAATGTAGGCCAACTGAACTGCATGTCTTTGCTAAAGTGGTCATCCACTACTGAGACCCAAGTAATTACTGGTGGAAAAAAAGAAAGAAAGAAAATACATATCCAGAGTAGAGAGAAGACAATTAAAAATAACTTAACCCTAGCTGGTTTGGCTCAGTGGATAGAGCATTGGCCTGGGGACTGAAGGGTCCCAGGTTTGATTCCAACCAAGGACACATGCCCGGGTTGCGGACTTGATCCTTAGTAGGGAGCATGCAGAAGGCAGCTGATTAATGAAGCTCTCTCATCATTGATGTTTCTATCTCTTTCTCTCCCTCTCCCTTCCTCTCTGAAACCAATAAAAAATATATTTAAAATAAATAAATAAATAAATAACTTAAAATATTTTAACACTATGGGAACAAGAAAACAAAAAAGCTTCTATAAGTAAACTTTGACATGCAGGCTGCTTATTTTCAACCTCTGATCTAAAATCTAAATTCCTGTTCCCATCCTTCTGACTGTGACCATGAGCATGCTATGTAAGTTCTCTAGGCCTCAGTTTCCTCATATGTACAATGCAGATAATTATAGCAGAGTAACAACACAGAGTTGTTAAAAGGGTTAAATTGAATAATTCACTAAAAGACAACATTACACATCCCTCAATAAATGCTTTTGGTTTCTTGATTTACAGAAAAATGGTAATTTCCTGTATAGTACAATAAACCATCAACACTGTGTAGTCACAAAACAAAAGTATTAGGAGCAAGTATGAAAATAAAATTGTATATGCTACATATTAGAAAATAAAAACACTAAAACCTCTAGGAAATGAAAAAAGAAAATAGATAAGCAACTCAAAAATTTCACCTTCACTAGAAAAGCAAGGCAACTTTTAGGTCAAAATAAGGCATCATTTTCTAATTATTAAATATCAGATATATGGTTGATGTATATGTGTGTGTTTTGTCCCATTGTAAGCATCCAACAAAGTAGACAACTATAAATCACAAAATACACTGCCAATTGGTTTAAAACTTCTGAAAAACAATTTATTAATATATATTAAGAGGCATTAAATATTTCTGCCATTTGATTCAGGTTTGCCAACTCTAGAAATCTATCTTAAGAAGATAATACTAACAGGAAGAAACAGTTCGATGCTGTTTACTGAAGTGCTATTGTTTTCATTGAAATCACCAACTACAAGGAAATGTCCAAGGAAAATATGTCATGTCCATTAGGTGTAAAAACATGCAATCATTAAAAATGTTTATGGGAACATGAAAAATGTTGTTACAGCATTAAATGAAAAAAAAAAACAGTAATAAAAGTGAAGTAAACCCTATGATATCTCTTTAAACTACATAAATATAATTTAATTTAGTCAATATACATTTATGAGAACTTTAAGTTGCCAGGCATGATTGCAGATGTTGGAGTTTACTAGTTAAACAAAAAAGACAAAAATCCCAGCCCTCACAGAGCATATCACATCTACTGGGGTTTTAATTACATGACTCTCTGAATTTCAACAGCAAAGACTGGTGAAATACAGAGCAGAAGATCGTTGTAGTAGGGGTGAAAATATGAATACTTTTCCCCATTCTACTTTTCTATCTTTTTCCAAAATGGCATCTAATGCTCTGACCACTACTGGAGGCAACTTAGATTTCCAGATTCCAGGTTGGGGACCACAAAGTTAATACTCCATGCAACTTAAGAGCTATTTTCAGAGAGTCAGGAAAGCCTAATAGAAATCCCGTCTATAGCAGTTAAGCTGCAAATCGAATGAAACATTCATGTCCTTGCGTATCTTTGAATTGTGTGTGTTCATAGGACTGTGTGTGCACCTGTGAGTGGGGGTGGGAGCGGGGTCGGTGTAAGTCTCGGGTTGCAAACCCTGGTTATTTTCCCCCCAATGTATTGATCAGAAGTCTTTGTGGATGGTGACACCGCTTTAATGAAAATGGTAAGCAACTTATTAATATACCATGGTTTGGTAGATAACGTCTTTTAAATCATGATCTCTGTGAAAGGAAAGCTATTAAAATTGAGCCAAGTTTCAAACTAAATGAAGATGACGGCCCATAAGATCTCTAGTTGCAGAGTCCAATGTAGAACTTTCCTTTAAGGCCCTGGAGGTACATGAGATTTGGAACATTAATTTATAGAGCTGGCACATTTCCAACCCAAAGCAAAGGCTGTTAATGATATATTTCATTTTTACATTAAAAAAGGCCAAACTGCAGCCTCCAGTTTTTCCAGGAAAATGCCAATAAACAAAAATCAGAATTTAACCCTATACAGCAAATGAAAAATTTCAAGAGACTCTGCAATCTCTTCTTCCTGGGATTCTTATTACCTATGAACTGTAAACATCGAACCCCTAAAAGAATCCCCCCCACCAACAAAAAAGATAAGGGAAAAATGTCCCAGGACTCTAAAACAGCTATTGTCAACCTCAAAGGGTAATTTGACTTCTTAACCTGCTATCCCAACAGAAATGATTGTGTCTAACTGCTTGCCTTTGTTCAGAGACTAATCACTAAATTGTGAAAAATCACCCTCAACTTACAGAAACTGCTCTTGATTATAAATAATTGCCCAAGACTGAGAGAAAGCGGCAGGCAAGATCCCGGTCTTTCATCCAATTTATTCAGCAGCAATCCACATTCCATTTGTCTAGACTAAATATAGCAGCGTTTATACAAGAAATCAATAGTGCTTGCAGAGAGGAGAGCGAAGGCATGAATATTTCATCAAACTCGGAGAGAAATGGCAATCAGCAAACTGATGGTGCTGCATAGGTCATCTTTGGCCTGCTGGATTAGTGCCTGCTCCTTGGACAATAGCTCATCTCTGGCTAATCATAATCATATCATAGCCATTCTTTCTATTTTTAACATTAATTGCACTGTGGGTGACAAAGACTCATCGTATTCCAAAAGGAATGATGGATTTTTCTTATGTCTTCCGTGACAGGCTAATAGGCCTCCCCAGGAGCAATAATAGTAACACAATACCAGGACCGAGTTTTAACACATTACAGTCCCTTTCATATCCCAGAATGTGAAAGAAAGGGCACTGTCCGCAGCTGCTGTATTATCATAATTAGAAATAATCAACTTACCAGGAAAAATTAACAACCGATTTTAACAGTGAAGAAATGGAATCATCCCTGTTCACACATTTCTTGTCTAGGAACATGCAAATTCCTTACAAATTACTTTGAACAGGTGGCCAGTGATACATAAATTAGAAAGAAGTTGATGACAACAAATATTAGTGTTAGCATTACTTAGAAATGAATCATGTTTTCTTAACAGATCGCAAGACCTCGTAACTTCATTTGTACTTACCCAATGTGTCGGACATTTCAAATACATGCCAACATGTTATAGTATATGTAATTACCCTAAATCCAAATCTCTATTCAGAACATTTCCATATTATATATTAATAGTTTTAAATACTAATTTACAAAGTCCTGTCCATTCCTTCTTCAGTGTCCTTTAGATTGTTCTTTGATAGTTTTTGGCTTCGCAATTATCACCTCATGCAATCTCCTTGGAAAGTTTTTAGTTCCTAATAATCAGGGAAACAAAAGGCTTCCATTTCAAAATAAAAATCTCAGACCATACAGATGTTTATAATAATTACATTTATTTAAGCAACATGCAGACCTGTGCAGCTATAATTAAATT